GGCCTCCCGCCGGGATCCGACGCCCCCGAGTGGGGGCTGCCTGTAAATGACACTGTGAATAAACCTGTTACCTTACCGGGCCTTCCATGTGAGGTGGGAGGGGGATGGGGGCCTAGTAACCTGAAACCCTGAAGAAGCTGGGACCCCAGACTTCGGGGTTTCAGGGAGGAAGGGTTTTGAGCTGGGCTTCTGACTCTGAGGGAGGAGGGGGCTGGGGGACCATCCTGGGTCTGAGGAAAGGGCCAGGACTAGGGCTAGAGGAAGTGGGACTGGAGACCCCAGGCATCTGTGGCTGAAGAAGGAGGGCCTGGGGTCGTGGACTCCTGGGTCTCAGGGAGGAGGGGGCTGAACACCTTGTGATTCCTGAGCGAGTGGGGGTTGGTTGGGGACCTCCTGCCCAGTGCCTCTGCTGGTTCTGGGTGCGCTCAGCATGGTCCTGACCCTCCTTGAGCACCAGATTCCTGATGTTTCCTGTTTGCCCGCAGTGGGGTAAGCGGAGTGACATTACCTGATGGACACACGCCATTCACAGCCCCCGTCACGATGCCTCCCTTCCAGCGCTTCGTGTGCAGGAGGCGCTGCACCCTCTCGCTTCGTCTCCACTACGGCCTCACTGGCTGTAGCCTGAGCCGCAGTAACTGACCTGGGGGCTCCCACCAGGTGGGCCTGGCTCCAGAGCTCTCACAGATTTTGGGATTGCCTTTCCCCCATGCTATCCTATCCTCATCCATCACCACCTGAATCTCTCTTGTCATAGATAAGGAGGGGCTGGTGGGCTTTGCAGACCTCTCAAGTTCTGAAGGCAGAGCTGCGTGAGCCTGAGTCGCGTCTTAACTTTTCTGACCTTCCATTTCCTCCTCTGAAAAGAGAGGCAACCCTCCCTCTTCACTCCCCCCACATCAGGCTACTCTTGGGAGGATTCAGTAACTTGGTCGTTCATATTAAGGTTTGGCCACCAGGGGGCTTTTGCTTTCAGGATTGCTGCTCAACTGGTCCTGGAAGGAGTGAGGCCCAGAAACTTCCTGCCTGACCTGTGGGTGATTTGGTGTTCTCAGTCCCACCTCCGAGCTTTGCTGACTTGCCTCCCTAGTCAGGAATGCCTTCCCTTTCCCATCTGCCTGCTCAAACCCTCCAGGGTCCTTGTAGAAAGAGACCTTCCTGATTCTCCCCTCCCACCCAGTCCAGGGCATACGGCTCTCCCAAACCCTACCACGTAGGTCCCCCACCCATAGGTCCTATCCTGATTCTGTGGCCTTCCAACCGTTTTGGGTTATGCTGTTCCTAATTAGACTGATCATTAAGGGCAAAGACCAGACCTGTCTCCCCACTGGACAATACAGCATTATTCATCCAAGAAACATTTATTGAGCATATAATGTGTGCAGGGGCTGTTCTAGGCACTGGTGAGAGAAAAAAGACCGAATCTTTCATGGAGCTTACAGCCTTGTGGGAAAGACACTTATATAATGTCAGATAATTAGTGCTGTGGATACGAAATCACATAAAGGGAAAAGGTGTAAAGAGGTGTTATTTTAGTTGTTATTTTAGTTTGAAAGGCCAGGACCTCTTTGAGAAGGTGACTTTGGGGGCAGAGATCAAATAAAGCAAGCGAGGTTTCTAGCCAT